TTTCCATCTGCCAGACCTTTGCCCACTCACTTAACCTAACTATATCCCTCTGCAGATTGTGTCCCCTGCATACTTTGCTCCAATTTCACATTTCCTTCCCGAAAATTAGAAAAGGAACCAGATAGGTTTTCACACCCATTTATAGTCATAGATTCGAGTCACACAGCATGGAAACAGACCCTCAGTCCATGCCAACCATAATCCCCAAACTAAATTAGTCCCACCTGCCTATACTTGGCCCATATCCCTGCAAACATTTCTTATTCATGTACTAATCTAAATGTTGTAACTGTACCCACATCCACCACTTCCTCTGAAAGTTTATTCCACACACAAACCACTGTCTAAAAATACTTAACCCTCATGTCTTTTATTAAAATCTTTCTCTTCTCATCTCATCTTAAAAATATGCCCTCTAGTCTTAATCTCCCACCCCTGGGAGAAGATACCTGCTGTTCACCTTATCTATACCCCTCTATTTTGTAAACTTGTACAAGGTCACCCCTCAACCTCCTGCGCTCCAGTGAAAAAGTCCCAGCCTTTCTTTATAACTCAAACCTTCCACACCTGGCAACATCCTTATAAATTTCTTCTGAATCCCCTCCATCTTGATGATATCCTTCCTTAACTGGGTGACCAGAACAGGACACAGTATTCCAGAAGAGGCCTCAGCAAAGTCCTGTACAACTTGAACATGACTTCTCAACTCCTTTACTCAAAGGACTTCACATTGTTATATTTCAGAGTGGAGGGGCGACCCTTTACAACTGAGATGATGAGCAATTTCTTCAGCCAGAGGGTGGTTAATTTACAAAACTCATTGCTGCAGAGAGTCGTGGAGGCCAAGTCGAGTGCATTTAAGACAGAGATAGATATAGATAGGTTTTTCATTAGTCAGGAGATCAAGGGTTATAAGGAGAAAGCAACAGAATGGGGTCAAGAAACATATCAGCCATCAAATCGCAGAGCAGACTCAAATGGGCCAAATGATCTAATTCTGCTCCTTCATCTTATGGTCTCAATTTAGGTTTTAAAATGAAGTTTTGCAAAGAGGCCAAAATGTCAGCAAGACCTTTCTTCTAATAACGTTGTGCCAACTCCTTATGGTCAGTACCTAGGGTATGAGGATTTGAAACATGATAATGAAGTAGCACTAGTTATGAGAGACAATGGCTAATGCACAGAGACTGGCATCAACCTCAACTCGGTGATAGCATAAAAATCTGGGCAAGCACTGTTCAGCATAGTACTGAGGGAGTGGCACCCGTTCCTTATTACGGGTAGTGAAGGGGCCTACACTGACCATGTTTGAGCAAAAGCAAGGAAATGCTCCCCCCCAACAATCTCAACTTGCTCCTTCAGTCAGCATCACTACATACATTGGCTGACCATCTTCTCACAAAACACTGCTGTGTACAAACAGGGCTGCATTTCACATGCTCCTCACTTGCCATTGTGACCATGCCATCCAACCTCAGGAACATAACATATGAAAAGATGACAAGAGGAGCAGTTGACTTAAGGCAGTTTTTTTTTAATATTTTAGTCCCAGATATGGGACAGAATATTTATACATAAAAAGGTACAATCAAGCACTCCAATTAAAGAATGCTAGCCATTGCTTCCAAAAGATTTAGATGAAGCTCTTCACAAATCAGCATTGAAAGATCTTAGTTACAGTCAACCAAGCAAGCTCAGTGCGGACTATACATTGTAAGTTCCACTGATCATACTCTGTTTCCAAATAGAATACCAGGGATAAAGAATCTCTCTCATGCATACACACACACACACACACACACACACACACACTCTCTCTCATGGATCCTTAAAACGGCAGTTAAGTTTCTAATTACTACAATCATCAGACAGTTAAAGTCAGCTACAGAAGTTTTCTAAAAAAAAAAATCCAGGCATCAGTATTTTCATGAAACACAAAGATACACTTGCCAATGCACACAGATCACTAATCAATTAGGATGGGGTACAGATGGTTGAGAGAAAGACAAGACTGAATGTTTTCTTAAACTTGAAAAACAAAGTTGGTCTATTAACTTGTCAAAAATGTTAAAGATTTATGATCGCTGACAGTACACTTCAGCGCCTTTTAAAACATTTTTGGTAGCAATTTTATGTTAAAAATAATAGCTATTATAGGAATTGGTCCCTCTCTGTAATCAGTCTACAATACACCCTACTTGAATAGGCAATAATGCTTTGACTGCAATTCTGACAAAAAGGGAATTGTTTCAAGAGGTTCATATGTTTGGGTGTGTCCCCATCCATATTGTTTAATGTATTAAAAAATGTGGGCCCTGAAAGTTGTCCACCTTCAAATGATTAGTTTAAACTTGATGTTAACTATGTATGTCAATGAAATTAAACAACAAGTATAGAGGGCTGATTGTTAGTTTATGCTTTCTCTGTCCAAAGGGGAGGGACACTAGTTGTAGCTGAAGTACAGGATTAATTTGGAGAGATGAGTTGCTGAGAAAAAAAGACAGAACAAATCTCACATTGGCTCTGGAATAGAGGGAATTCAAAGTAATGAACTGTCTTTGCTCATTCTGTGCTTTTCATTACATGAGACCAACTTCTTCACATCATTGTCAGTAATTCCAAGTCAGAATCCCAATACTTCCACACCACACTAAACATTTTAATAAAAGCAAACAGTCCAAAAAGTATATGGTCTCTGCCATAGTAAAGTTGACATTTACACAGTCACTTCCTTTTATACAGAAAAAGGAAGCCCTCCCCAAACAGTGGGCCTTGAGAAGCTGTCTCTAATAGGCTGAAAACTGGCCAATCACATATCACCCAATCTTTCAGCTAATTCTGATGCAGTTGAACTAGACTAAAAACAGGAAAACAAAATCAAGACCAGTTGCAGTAATAATACAATTTAAAATGGAAAATACTTTGCATAAAACTCATTTCTTAAGAGTACAAAAATGATATAATATTGAAAATACTGTAATTAAAGCAATAAATCACTGAAGGGCCATGTTGTATTTATCCTGAATAACAGAGGGGAAAACTGATCTTCTGGTCTACGTAGAGTGTTAACACAAGTTTTCCGATTATTAAGATTTGGAATCAAGAATGCCTTTCTTGTTCTGCACAATTAAGGACATAAATAAATGTGTAGAACGGTAACTTATAAATGTAGGATGCACAGATCAGCCTCCTTGTTCAATTGTCATACACTTGTAAAACAAAACAAAATACCCATTATTCTGACAGCCGCAAACAAAACCCAGCTCAAATTCATGCTGTTACTTTGTTCCCTATTAAAATGACTACCTGGGGCAATTCAAAATTGAAACAATACTCTCATTCTTGTAGCTTTGTAACAGAGAGCAAAAAGTGGGGAGAGAATTTCCAGAAATGAACTACTAGATTTGCTTTGTTGGTAGAGGTATCATCCAAACTAAACGGCATGTAAATGCATCAGGAAGCTTCACCTCTTGTGTGCTCGTTTAACGCGCACACAGGTACAGAAGCAGATCTCGGCAAAAATGACTTAAGCCCCCAATAATTTAGAATTTGAAGGGAGCGGCATGTCTGCATGCACTAATTCACACAAGCTGGAAAAGGCTCAAAGATTTGTACAATTGCTGTGGAAAATAACATTCACTTTAAAAAATGTAAAGCATTAATGAATAATCACACAGTCTCTTCACACATCTACTCAATATATTACTGGATAAGATTAAAACGACAATATCCCTGTTCTCAAAGATACTCCACTATTAACAGTAAATCTTAAAAACAAAATTGAACACATTTAGAAACGAGATAGACTATATTTAATAATTAATCTTAAGAATGCTCAAATTTTGAATATAAGCATTTGAACTGCAATCCTCTCCTGTATGATTCAAAAAGCAGCTTTTAGATATTAAAACTGCACCAATAAAACGTGCAAGTTTATTGATTTGACTAAAGTATCAGAAGTTAAGGTTAGTTTCTGCTCAACAACAAAAAAAAAACTTCTGATCCATACAAATAAGAACCAAACATTTCTCATTCCCTTCCCACACTTTAATTATACACTACACTGGCCAGAGTGTGTTCCAAGACAGTAAAACATCTCCGACTGAAGGAGAGGTTAAATTAATCCTTCAGTACTACAGACCCTAAACAAAAAGTTGAACCATTTTTGTCTTGCACTCATTAAGACAGACACAAAGCAGCCAAAACTGTCACAATTTATACCACAGAAAACAGATACTGATTGGGCAAGGGGCAGAGTCACTGCCAATGAGAAAGCAATAGGAAATATTCCATGACCAATCTCAGCCAAAAATCAATCAGTACCCTTTTCTCCTACAATTGTTGTCTTAGTATACAATTTTGCATTCTTTCAGTTGTCCTAATGAGTGCAAGATGAACAAGCTTCAACAGACTTCTGTTTTCAGCGATGTTCACTTGTTAGCATGTTGTTCTCTGTGAACCGTTACCACAATGAGTGCATCTTACAGTACATACAATTTATGGAAAAGTACTGCAAAGCTGGTCACAAGGAGAAGGGAATTAAAAGGGATTAAACTCGCACTGCTGACAAATCTAGATGGGCCAAATGGTTAACCAATAAACTGAAACGTCCACAATCTTAATGATAATCTTGGGATAAAGTGATTGATATATTGATTCCCAGATGGAACAGTGAAGGCAAGGAGCTCTGGAACTATTTAGAATACATGTGAATTTTGCATTTGGGTGGTAAAGGTACAGAGGAAAGAAACAATTTAAGACTTCCTGGCTGGGTGAATGCTTTTCCTCCTAAGTAAATGTCACTATCTAATACACTTGTAGGTTCCAGTGTATAAGCTTACCTGCCCATCTCTCTCCACGCACTCCCAACCCCCACCACCACCTTTTAACTCTCTCAATGCAACACTAACGTAGTTTCAAATCGACCCAGACACTGGTTTTCCATTCACTGGAGCTTGTTTTAACGACAGTCACTAAATCCGAATGACAATAGATTGGGAAAGGGGGAAGTGTTGTTTTATACCAGTTGCTAAAGTAAACCTGCAGGTGCAGCAGGCAGTGAAAGTGGGAAATGGTATGTAGGCCTTCATAGTCAGAGCATTTGAGTACAAAGAGCAGGGATTGCTGCAACTGCAAAGGGCATGGGTGAGATTACATTCGCACGAATGTGTGCAATTTTCATCACCTTGTTGGAGTTACTGGCTACGGAAGGTGTGCAGCTGACTCCTGATGTATGAAGAGACAGATGAGTTAAAAATATATTCACTGGAGTCAAGAATAATTTGGGGGAGGGAGAAGGGGAACTCAGAAACCTATAAAATTCTAATAAGAGTAGTCGGGCTAAACGCAGGAAGGATGTTGACGACGACCAAGGTAGTTCAGAACTAGGGGTGATGTTTCAAGGATACAGGGTAGGCCATTTAGGACCGAGACGAGGAAAATTTCTTCTACCAGACAGCAGTGAGCCTGTGGAATTCTATGCCACAGAAAGAAGCGGAGGCCAAACAAAACAGTGAATGTTTTTAAGAAGGAGTTACATTATAGTTGTTTGGGCTATAGGGTCAAAAGGATGTGTGGAGAAATTAGTTGGATATCAGTCATGACCATATTGAATGATGGAACATGCTAAAAGCAAAAGGGCCAAATAGCCCACTGCTGCTCCTATTTTTTATGTTTCTGACCTTAGGCCAAAATCTCAAGATTTTAAAACGACTAGAAGTGAACATCTCCGCAAGTTATGTTGCATAAAACTAGTCTGATAACAGATTTGTTCACTATTTTTCATTTTTAGAAGAAAAATTTTAAGGTTGATAATTTGAATGGTGCAGCTTCATACCGACTTCCTAAATTATATCCAGTCACTTACAATCATGCATCAAAGTCCACTGCTGAATAACATCTCTGAATGAAGCCCATCAACTCCACGGAGTTCACTGGAAACATGCCACAGCTGGCTCTCATCAACACTGAATAGCAATTTCTAAAATCACGTTCTATTTAAAAATACATAAAATATAACCTACACTCTCCATATATCAAATCTGCATACAATGCTCCTACAAAAACTCAAAGAAAAGACGGACTAATGTCTGTCTTTAAAGCAGTACAAGGAGACTAGAAAGCACACATCTCTACCCCAGACTAATTAGTAACACGCCTTGGTTAGAATGAGATGAGATTCCACTCTGCTTCCCTTAACTCTTGGTAGCTGTAACCCGTTTAGTGATAGAGAAAATAAAACCAGAAATTGTTTCCTACCCTTTCCCCACACCCAAGAAAGTCCAATTAAAATAACTAAGCAAAAAGTCAAGAGAATGCATCTCTAACTAGAAACTAACCAGTCCATACAAACCCAATACTGCACTGCGGAAGCAAGAAATGTTGCTAAAATTAATGCAAGCCTGTAGAAGTTGAAATCTTGATTGCAAACAACAGCATCTATCAGAGGAGTCATTTGCATTGCTCGTCACGTTCTTTTTTAAAAATGCACCAAAATATAAGAAGTGCACATAAAAACACACATGCAATCACACACGCTCTTCTCAAAGCCATACACAGTGGCACACGCTTTATATATAAAAAAAAAGTTTAAAAACATTGAGGTCCTTCTGTATTTGGGTGACTCCTCATGGAGGAAAACTGAATAGTTTAAAACAAAAAGTAGCATAATTATATGTTAAACAAATCGCAGGTTAGAGTACAAGTCAGTTTAAAAATAAAAATACAAAAATGCAAGATACACTGCATGACACACTCACCAATAACTACCATCTAATTTAACTAAAATCTTATTAAAAAAATAACATTTCTGTTCTAGGCATCTTAATTACAGGCTGTACAGTTTTTTTGAACAAAGTGAGGGAGGTAATTGACTTTTGCAGGTGGATGCAGGTTGCTTCCAATTTCCTGCTACAAATTCAATTGAATAAAACATTTGTAATACAGTGTAAATCAACAAAATTACAGGTTCTTAAACAAGACTTTCTGTACAAGTACCGAAAAGACACAGCAGTCAATAATCACCTCCTCGAAGCATTAAACGTAACTAGATAAACACAAGAGAACAAAAATTTACATGCACGCATATTAGGTGGACAATACTATCTCGCTGTATGTATGTACGAGACACACTGCGGGCAAAAACTAAGAAAGCTCATGTTCCTGTGACAGCCATAAAACTAACTTAATCCTCTCCTCTTCACTGGCACAGCTTCAATGTGACATGGGACATAGGAAATGGAGTGATACTTTAAAATGAAATTAGCCATCTTTCTCTCAGGCAGGCCCACACTAAACAAAAGCGATATCTCAAACTGATTATCAAATTAATTTAGATTAAGAAGTGTAGTCACAGAAAAATTACCAGTCAAAAGTAGCCTGCACGCCGGTATAGAATGCAGCTGCAGACATTTTAGGGCTAAATTAAAGTAATTTTTGGAGTGATTAAAATTTTGCATGGAAGTGGTGTGTGCATTTAGCACAAACGTCTTTGTATTGCGACTAGAGCAGCTGCATCTGAATAAAGTCATCATTTCTGGATTTATCAGCTTTGAGTCATTTTTCTTCTGAATGCAGACAAGGATACCAGCTTTACAAAATAAACCTAGATCTACAGTCCACTCCACAAAAAGCATTGCATTTATTCCATACGTCTGTGACCCAGAGTGTGGGAAAACTTCCCATATTTTTGATACAGCCCAGGTGAAATACCTTAAAGAGCAAGCAGAGATAGCTGGTGAAATGGTGATTTTAGGTAAAACGGGGAGTAGAATGAAAAATCGATCATGAAACATCCTCTACCCTTAATGCAGTTATGCTACTCCATGCTTTGAGTAATTAATTCCATCGTTTCGATCGTGTGGGCTACATTAGGATCTCAGAAAGCATGACACTGTTCTCCCTTCAACAAGCAATTCACACCTTACTCGTAAAGTTTAAATCAAAAGTAGACCAGACACCACTTAGAGATTTTGTCTTAACAATGGGAAACACAAACTAAGCTTCCCTTAGTTATTTCTTTGAGGGTTGGAGCAGAAGGACTGAGAGGGAAACTAAGATGAAACAGAAGTCGAGTGACAGAGAAAATAAACTGCTCAATGATTCAATGTTGGAGGAGTGAGGTTTGGGTGGCGGAAAGTGCAGCTTGCACGGGCTGTAAAATGGTATATGTGGGTTTGGTTTCTCAAATTAAATATTCCCTGGCCTCCCACCCCATCCCATGTTACAATCTTTGCTGAGCAATTCAAGGTGACAGGTTGCAGCACACTTGATAGCATGAAAACACTGTGGATTATCCAAACTTCTCAGTCAGATTGCACCATTAGAACACAGCCCACACTGGGTGAATGACCAGGATGTAAACAACGACTTCTGGGGTTTGGTGTGTGGTGGTGGTGGTGGTGTGGGGAGGGGATGGGGGTTCCACTCTGATGCCTTTCAATTACTGTCATTCAATCAAGAGATCAACGTTAAAGACAGAGGAGATAAACTGTGACCGAAGTAAAGTGTGCAAGATCCCTCTTTTGGACCCAGTCATGAATTCCCTCTACCCAGACCTTTGTTACACGGAAGCTAACAAACAAAAGTTTCCAGAAACATCATCAATCTCTTCATCTCCTGCCCAGAACAAAGTAGCAAATGGCACCCACTAACTCCATAAATCTCTAACCAGATTTGATTTTAAAATCAAAAGCAAATTCAGCTTCACGGGATGGGTGGAATTCAAATTCATGGCTACGGTGTTCACACACAGGTCAGATGGAGGGGAGTGGTGGGGGCATGGAATAGCTGTGACCTAGTAAATGGTGGAGCATGCTTCAGGGCCAGAACTTTCTACTTCTGCTCCTGGTTTGTATGATTGTCACTTAATTTTGTTTTTGAATAAAAAGCCTTTAAATTCAGTATTTATGGGTTATGGGATTTCACACAAATCAATCAGTCAGTCAATCTGTATAAAAAAGGAGGGAACTCGATAATATGGCAAACCTGAGTAAAGTTTCTTGGGGAAAACACAGTAGGTCAGGCAAAAAGAGCCAACACTGCGCTTTCATGAGGATTACAAAGTACGAAAGGCAAAATCACAAGGCTAACTCAAGTTGGCCCTTTTATAAACTCCAGTTTCCTCCCCAACAACGATATGGACAAGTGTCCCAAACATTCTACACAGGCACACGCAAACATTTTGCACGATGACCTGCACTTTTGGCATCAAACAGAATGTTACTTAAAAACCGGGAGTGGTAACATTCATTAAAAAAGTTTCCAAACCTTTGTGTCACCCAAAGAGAATGCTTGTTTTCATACCAGCAAACTATTACCCCAGTCCAATCCAACCCATCACCTTTCGAAACTTCCACAGAATACTACTGCAATGAACCCTGCCAAGATACAAAGGCGAGCTAGGAACCACACAGAGAATTTTATAGCATAAACAGTTAACACGAGCAGGTTATAAAAGAACAAAGTGTATGTCTCAGCCTCTCTTTCACCCAAATACCACGCATTCATTCAGGTCAACAAAAGCATCGCCTGAGCAACCAACCAGATTCAATCTGAGCACGGGCAAATTTTGCATTTTGCCTCAATCTTCACAAAACACTGCGACTTTTAAAGCATTCTGCAGAGACCAATTTTGTGAAGCTAACCAGGCTGGGTTTAATATAAAAACTGAACTAGAGAATGTTTCAAGAAGTTCTACATCATGATTTAAATTGTTGAAATAGCTCAAGTTGTACAACACCGTACGACCCAAAGTGGAACACTGGCTGCAGGTTTAGTTGTCAACAGGTTCACAAATCAGAAATACAACTTTATCCCGGGGAGGAAAAATGAAAAACAGTAGAGCTTTCTCTAACAATACAAAACTCTCTCCTGAGATAATTGCAAGGAAACAAAACATACAGGCTGGAATTTCAATTTTTAAGAACTCCCATCACATCAAACCAATGAAAGATTTATTCCATTTGCTGTCCCAATCACACACATTCACTCGCTGTCCTTGCCTCACTCATTTCTCACCCCCACCCGCGCACCCTCCCTTTCCCCATCCTTTCCTTCTGGTAACACTTGGGGTTTGTTCAATCACACATCTCCTCTGCTATTTCATGTGGGTTTAAGATCCCAGGAACAGTCATTTGCAGCTTTCTCTTTTCCTCCTGGGCCTGGCGCAGAGCTGTTTCCCTCTCCTCCAGGAACAGGTCTGATGTGTCTTCACCACCGAATTCCTAATAAGAAAAAAAAACAAAGATCACCACAGTTACTTTTCCATTCAGAACTCGCGTTGAAGCACAAAAAGAATGCATTTGGCAGCCCTCCCTCCCGTCAGGACTTTGTTCCCTCAAAAAAGTTCCTGGTGAACATCTGGTGCCAGATATAGAGAGGGATACAGAAGCACCGTTTGAAACCAATATAACCTTTAAACAGTTAAATTTCGAGAACAACTTTAAAATTTACATAGCACCTAAACTTAATGAAATGTCTCAAGGAATTTCACAGGAGATTTATAAAACAAATGCTAAAGGCATAAAAACTAAATAGGATGACGCCAGGGACCTGGGTTCAATTCCAGCCTTGGGCGACTGTCTGTGTGGAGTTTGCACATTCTATACGTATCTGCATGGATTTCCTCTGGGTGCTCCAGTTTCCTCCCACAGTCCAAAGATGTGTAGGTTAGGGGGATTGACCATGCTAAATTGCCTGTAGGTGTCCAGCAACGTGTACGTGAGGTGGATTAGCCATGGAAAATGCAAGGTTATAGGTATAGGGTAGGGGAGTGTGTCTGGGTGGGATGCTCTTCCGAGTGTTGGTGTGGACCTGTTGGGCCAAATGGCTATTAGGTTAGATCACCAAAGGCTTGGCCAAAGAAGTAGGATTTAAGGAATGTCTTAAGGAAGGAAAACAAATTTAGAGATGTGCCAACTTGTTGGGGAAGGTGTTCCAGAACTTCAAGCTTAGGGCAACAGAAAGCACAGCTACCAATGATAGAACAATTACAAAATCAGGAGTCCACAAAAGTTAGGGGAACACATTTTGCAGGGTTGAGGTGCTGACAGAAATGGCAGCAATACGGAGGTTCAGGGTCTTAGAGAGATTTAAAAACAAGCACAAAAATTCAACATCATACTTCGTTCAAATGAGACACTTGCATTTTAGGAAACTGCAGGTAGCTCCATGAGGAATCCCTACCACTGTTGACTGTGGTGAAGGTTACACCTGCTAGAATTGATGCCACCATTCCCTTTGCTGGGTTAGAATCTACAAAGTCCACTTGGTCTAGTAACCATGAGGAAGACCTCAAATGTTGGGTCTCAAATGCTTTGAGATCCAAAGCTATTCCTCTGTCAAACCTATGTAATATCATACACTCCTCAACAATTACCCATTTTAGGCTCTTCCACAACACAGGTTGGACACTGAAAAGGACTGAGATGGGGAGGCAGACAAAAAGTGAACAAGGACATGTGAAGATGGGTGAAGGGGCGAGCTGGTGATGTAGTGGCAATGTCACTGGACTAGTAATCCACAGCCCCTGTTCAACACATGTTCAAAACTCACCATGGCAGATGATGAAATTTGAATTCAATATAACTGGAATAAAAAGCTAGCTTAATGGCAACCATGTAACCCATGTGGTTCACGAACATCCTTTAGGGAAGGAAATCTGCCATCCTTACTTGGTTTGGTCTGCATGTGACTCAACAGCCACAGCAATATGGTTGAATTTTTAACTGCTCTCTGGGCAATTAGGGGTGGGAAACGAAAGCTAGAGCAGCCAGTGATGCTCATTTCACATGAATGAATTGAATTGTTATATTAAAAAAAAATTTAGGGAGATAATACTCAGGAAAGGATCTGAAGGCCATGGTACAATGGGGTACCACAGTGGTTAGCACTGCTGCCTCACAGCACCAGGGACCTGGGTTCAATTCCAGCCTGTGTGGAGTTTGCACATTCTCCCCATGTCTGCGTGGGCTTCCTCTGGGGTGCTCCAGTTTATCCCCACAGTCCAAAGATGTGCAGGTTAGATGGATTGGGCATGGGAAATTGCCCATAGTATCTAGGGTGGTAAATGCATGGATAGGATTGGGCTGGGGGGGGGGGGGGGATGCTCTTTGGAGGGTTGGTATGGACTTGATGGGCCGAATGGCCTGCTTCCACACTATTGGGATTCTATGGTAATACTGGTCAGGACCCTGACAGCATGCAATTTTCATGCAACAGAGAGAGGAAAAAAAAACAACAGTTGGAGTTGGTTGGGGAAGATGAGGAGTAAATTAGTAAAAGGGAATGGCCTACAGTTAATATCACTAGACTACCAATCCAGAGATCGTGGCAATGTTCTGGGGTCCTGGGTTTGAATCGTGCCATTGCAGGTGGTGAAATTTCAATTCAATTAAAATTTTAAAAATCCGAAATTAGGAGTCTAATGATGACCACAGATCCATTGTCGATTGTCAGAAAAACCTGTCTGGGTCATTAATATCCTTCAGGAAGGAAACTGCTGTCTTTAGCTGGTCTAGCCTACATGCAACTCCAAGCCTACAGCAATGTGGCTGACACTTAACCACCCTTTGGGCAATTACAGAAGGGCAATAAATGCTGGTCTGGCCAGTGACACCCTCATCCCATGAATGAATTTTTTAAAAATGAATCCAATGGTACAGGCTTTTTCAACACCAGTTGTCTTCCCCTCTCCTGACCTCAAAACGCCTGCTGGGCTGCTAGATCATCAGTACTGGGTACCCACAATGGTACGCCCGCACTCACTGAGCAAATTTATTCCAAATATGAAAAGAATCTGCAACATTAAACACCCAAGTCCAACTACACTCAATGAGACTCATTTAGCGAATTTCGTATCCAGTTGGCAAGCTCACCCTCAGTCCCATATGACCTAACTTTCTAAGGTTTTGAGAATAGATTTCAAGTAGGGCGGCACGGTGGCTCAGTGGTTAGCACTGCTGCCTCACAGCGCTAGGGACCTGGGTTCAATTCTACCCTCTGGCAACCGTGTGGAGTTTGCATATTCTCCCTGTGTCTGCGTGGGTTTCCTCCGGGTGCTCCGGTTTTCTCCCACAGTGCAAAGATGTGAAGGCTAGGTGGATTGGCCATGCGAGTTTGCCCATTGTGTTCAGGGATTGTGTAGATGAGGTGGGTTATAGGAGGGTGGGATGCTCAGAGGATCAGTGTGGACTTGTTGGGCCGAAGGGCCTGTTTTCACTCTGTAGGGATTCTATGATTTTTAGATTTGTAGCTCGGGTTGTGGATGTTGCGGTTGGTTGGCAGGGTAATGAAATGTCTGTGGTACAATGAACCAGCTCAGCGAGCCAACCAACCGCAATGACCTAACTTTACTAATTAGTCTACCACACCGAACACTGTCAAAGGCTTTACTGAAGACCAAGCATATAATGTCTACTCCTGTGGCCTCAACAATCTTCTTGGTTACTTCATCAAAAAAAAACTCAAATCAAATTTGAGAAAGACAATTTCCCTCATGCAAAAGCATGCTGACTCATGGTACCCCCCCAAACACAGAAAAATGGGAAGCCTTCAAAACTGAGATAACGAGAGTCCAGAGAAAGTATGTTCCTGTTAGGGTGAAAGACAAGGCTGGTAGGTGTAGGGAATGTTGGATGACTGGAGATATTGAGGTTTTGGTCAAGAAAAAGGAGGAAGCATGTCAGGTATAGACAGCAGAAAGTGAGTGAATTCCTAGAAGAGTATAAAGGAGGTAGGAGTGTACTTAAGAGGGAGGTCCAGGCTGGCAAGAATAGGACCATCAGATAGCTTTGGCAAATAGGATTCTGGAGAATCCACAGGGATTTTTCAAATAGGTAACTAGGGAGAGAAAAAGGCCCCTTAAAAGATAAGCAAGGCCACCTATGTGTGGAACAGCAGGAGATGAGGGAGATACTGAACGAGTATTGTGCATCAGGTTTACTCAGAGAAGGATATGGAAGCTATTGAACACGGGGAAATAAATAGCAACATCTCGAAAAATGTCCATATTATAGAGGTAACAAGGTGTAGAGCTGGATGAACACAGCAGGCCAAACAGCATCAGAGGAGCAGGAAGGCTGACGTTTCAGGCCTAGACCCTTCTTCAGAAATGGGGGAGGGGGAAGGGGGATCTGAAATAAATAGGGAGAGAGGGGGAGGGAGATAGAAGATGGATAGAGGAGAAGATCGGTGGAGAGGAGACAGACCGGTCAAAGAGGCGGGGATGGAGCCAGTAAAGGTGAGTGTAGGTGAGGAGGTAGGGAGGGGATAGGTCAGTCCAGGGGGGACGGACAGGTCAAGGGGGCGGGATGAGGTTAGATGGGGGTGGGGCTGGAGGTGGGAGTAGGGGATAGGAGAGAGGAAGAACAGGTTAGGGAGGCGGGGACGAGCTGGGCTGGTTTTGGGATGCGGTAGGGGGAGGGGAGATTTTGAAGCTTGTGGAGTCCACATTGATACCATTGGGCTGCAGGGTTCCCAAGCGGAACAAGAGTTGCTGTTCCTGCAACCTTCAGGTAGCATCGCTGTGGCACTGCAGGAGGCCCAGGATAGACATGTCATCTGCGGAATGGGAGGGGTAGGTTGAAATGGTTCGCGACTGGAAGGTGCAGTTGTTTAGTGCGAACCGAGCGTAGGTGTTCTGCAAAGCGGTCGGTGGTGCTGGATAGCTTAAAACGTGTAAAGGTGGATAAAAAAGAAGGACCTGATCAGGTACCCTAGAACTCTGCAGGAAGCTGGGGGAAGTGATTGCTGGGTCACTTGCTGAGATATTTGTATCATTGATAACCACAGATGAGGTGCCGGAAGTCTGGAGGTCAGCTATTGTGGTACAACAAGTCAAGAAACGTGGTAAGGAAAAGCCAGGGAACTACAGACCAATGAGCCTGACATCAATGGCAGGCAGATTGTTGGAGGGAATCCTGAGGCTCAAGATTTACAGTATTTGGAAACACAAAGACTGATTATGGTCAGCCAACATGGCTGTGTGGAGGGGAAATCGTGTCTCATGACTTTAATTGGGTTTTTTTGAAGAATTAACAAAGAGGATTGATGAGGGCAGAGCTTTACATAGGCTTCAGTAAGGTGCTCAACATGGTTCCACATAGCAGACTGGTTAGATCACATGAAGTACAGGGAGAACTAACCATTTGGATTCAGAACTGGCTTGAAGGTAGAAGACAGAGGGTGTGGTGAAGGGTTGCTTTTTAGACTGGAGGCTTGTGACCAGCGTTGTGCCACAAGGAGCAGTACTGGCTCCACTGCTTTTCATCATTTATCTAAGTGATTTGGATGGGAATATAGGAGGTTTGGTTAGCAAGTTTGCGGATGATACCAAAATTGGAGGTGTAATGGACAGCAAAGATTACCTCAGTGTGCAATGGTATCTTGATCAGATAGACCAATATGCTGAGGAACGGCGGATAGAGTTTATTTTAGATAAATGTGAGATGCTGCATTTTGGGAAGGCAAATCAGGGCAGGACTTATACACTTAATGGTAAGGTCCTTGGGAGTGTTGAACAAAAAGAGACCTTGGAGCGCAGGTTCATAGCTCCTCGAAGGGCAGTCACAGGTAGATAGGATAGTGGAAGTGGTGTTTAGTATGCTTGCCTTTATTGGTCAGTGCATTGAGTACAAGAGTTGGGAGGTCTTGTTGTGGCTGTACAGCACATTGGTTAGGCCACTCATGAAATACTGTATGCAATTTTGGTCTCTCACCCATACGAAGGATGTTGTAAAACTTGAAAGGGTTCAGAAAAGATTTAAGCATATTGCCAGGGGTTGGAGGGTTCGAGCAATACAGAGAGGCTGAAAAGGATGGGGCTACTTTCCCTGGAGTGTCGGAGGCTGAGGGGTGACCTCAGAGATTTATAAAATCATGAGGGGCATGGATAAGGGAAATAGACAAGGTCTTTTCCCCAGGTGGGGGTTCCAAAACTAGAGGGCATAGGTTTAAGGTGAGAGGGGATAGATTTAAAAAGGGTCCTAAGGGTCAACCTCCTCATGCAGAGGGTGGTGCATGTATGGAATGAGCTGCCAGAGGAGGTGGTGGAGGCAGATACCTTTTTTAAATGTTGTAATTGTATCTGGATGGGTACGTGAATAGGAAGGGTTTACATGGATATGGGCCAAATGCTGGCAAATGGGACTAGATTTATTTAGGATATCTGGTCGGCATGAATGAGTTGATCAGAGGGTCTGTTTCTGTGCTGTACAGCTCTATGACTACAGCTCTCCCTTCCTTAAAAAGATGATACAGATAATTTTTTAGATATTAAAAAGCATCAAGGGGTATGGGGAGCAACTGGGAATATGGCAGAGATATGATCAGCCACAATCATATGGCCTACACCTGCCCCTATTTTCTATGTTTCAAGTGTGCATTAAATATCTGACCATCATACATTTACACAGTGCATCAAACTGTGACACCCTGAGTAGTTCAAACAACAAATGGTTGCATTCTGGTTACAAACAAACAGTTTTGGGAAGAAAAAGGGGAGAAATTTCAGCCCCAAAGCTTGCTGCTTTTTTTGAGAGGACAAGAGCAAAGCAATTAGTCTTGAACCCGTAGGTTGCTGAAAGCACCATTACAAGGCATATGTTTATAAATCCTTAATGTTGCTTAGCTACAAGGCACAATTGCTCAAGGGAAGGTGTTTTTGTTACAGATTCCCCATCCACAGCAGGACTTGCTGCATTCAGTTCTTACCTTTATCTGTACAAGGAAATCTCTCAGATGCTCTTTGAAAGATGGAATGTCTTGGTTTAGGCTGAACAAACCAGTCACAAAAACTTTGATCTGTGCACTGAGACATGAAAAGAGAGAGAACAGAATTTTTACACCTCCTTTTATCTTGCAATTCTGAACAGTGAAAGCCTAACACACAAGCAAAAATTAACATTTCTGTCCCAGCTACAAATTGGTCCATGGGGGAGAAATTCAGGCAGTGAAGATTGATGTCAAGTAACAGAGGGCTGGACATACATAGCACCTCACGAGGTACGGAAATACTTCTCTCTCCAAGCTACACAGAATCCTGCCTTGGAACTATATTGCCGGTCCTTCACTGTTACTGATCCAAAATTCCGAAATTCCTTCCTAACAGCACACACAGCAACACCTTAAGGAGGCAGCTCATTACCACTGTCTCAAGGGCAACAAGGGATAGGAAAAGAGGGAGGTCCAAAAATGAATCAACATAGATTTTAAAAATCTGCAAAGCTCAGCACAAAACCCACCAATTTCAACTGCATTTTCTCTGACAAAGGAAACAAAAATGAGGTGAGAAAACAGCTACAATGGGCACTGAAGAGAGAGGAAAAAAGAGACAAAGGATTGAGACAAAATAGTTAGGTTGCAACAGAAGACAAAGCAAGAGAAAGATATTTTTAAAAAGGAACCAAAAACAACTCCAATGTCTTCCATTGGTAGGGGTCTCCAACACTGACCCTCTGACTCAACTAAGTATCACACCATGTCAATTTGCTCTAGTTTACACTGTAGGAGTAATTCAAACAGGAGAGAAAAATTCTTTGCAATAAAATGTCAAAAATATATCAGATGACAAATTCATCCAATAGGATCAGTTAAAGAGCAGCTAACCACCTCTGTGGCTGCATATCATAACTGAACCTATTGAGTGCCCACTGCAAGGACTCCACATCATAGAACATTTTCCATTACCCCATGTACAACAGGATATCTCAAACAAAATGTCTAAAAAGTAAACATGATTCTACCCCAAGGCCGAAAGCCCAATTATTTGGATTCTCAGTCTTTCCCCACAGACACAGGTGGCATTTATATAAATAAATAGCAAACTCTGGTTTTGTTATCCCTCATCATGTGCCCACAAGCTCAAGGTGAATAAGTAAATGTGTAACTCCAAAAAAAACTCACATCTTGCATTCAGTCCAGTCATCAACTTTAACACAGTTACTATCAATTAATTGATTCATGTTTGTTCTGCATGTTTTAGAACAGTCGCAAAATTGAATCTAGCAAGAATGGAATGCGATCTCCTTGCTTCACAAAGAGAATTTAAGTTGATTATAGAACACAGCACAAAAGGCAGACAAAGCATTAAATCAGCATTGCATGAATCATCTGTGATTAAGTTTACCCCCTCGTTTCACCAAAGTAGTGGGGCTAGCTTGAAGATGAAAAGAAAAAGAGCATGCACAAAAAAAAAGATGAAAGAGAAAAACAAAAAAAGGTTAAAAAAAAAGAGAAACAACAAACAAAAAAATTAAAACCGAAAGAACTGCAGATGCTGGAAATCAAAAACAGAAATTTTTAGAAAACCTCAGCAGGTCTGGCAGCATCTGTGGAGAGAAATCACAGTTAGTGTTTCAGGTCCAGTGACCCTTTCTCAGAGCGCAAACAAAAAATTGATTTTATCCTAATTATTATTAGTCTCAACAGCATATTAATGGATCACTCCTCGGCACCAGCTCGCAGACATGTAGTTAAGAATGAAGGACATGATCATTTTCATAATCACAGCACATCAAGCAGCGGTATATTCCCCCTGCGTAATCCACTGGACTTGTGCCACATGATCAGTTAACTCAGCAGAGAACAAAGACTGTGGACAAGAACATCCTTGGCTGAACTATCACAACTCTCTCTGAGCAGTACTCACTCTTGGAGGTGGGGGAAAGCGGTTTTCAACAGGTTGGCCACAAACTCTTGGACGAAGATCTGATTGTTCATATTGGGTGTCGCTGGGCTCAAAGACAATGTTATCTTGCCGTCCTCCACTAAGCTGAACATGTACGCCAAGATGGTGGCGTGCATAGTCAATCCTGGAAAGGAGGAATTAAATGTTTTTAAAAAGACGTTAAAACACATTCATATAATCACAGTCAGATCCAAATTATACAACCAATAATTAAATATATTCTTTGTTTATCTCCCCTCTCCTGGGCTACAGTTCTAAAAACATTGACAGCCCCTTATCAGCAATTTCAGCCACATGGCAGCTCTATAGAGTAGCACTTTGGAGCCCAAATTTTCCACATTTGAGCAAAACCAACAAAATTTGGAAACGTGCTGCCCTGCGAGTGTGGTGGAGGTGGATTCCAAACCAGGTTTCAAAAGAGCTTAACATATATTTGCAAGTGATGATGAATTTAGAGGGTTGCGAAGACAGGGCTGGAAAATGGGACCAAGCTGGGTAGCTCTTTTGGGAGCCAGTACAGCCACGATGAGTCAAATGGCCTACTTTTCTACCACAAAATTCTATGAAAATCTAGACAGATATCCCAGCGCAGTACAGGGAGTACATTTCCACAGTGGCGACAGTGCAAAAGCACTTTACTGGTGGCAATGCACTTTGTGACATGCCAAGATTGTGAGACACTATTCAAACCTAAGTACTTCTCTTCTGTCTTCGCCAAGTCCCTCCCCCGAATCAAATCAAGCCTCAAACAGAAGGATTTGCAGTTACACCCAATTCCATTCTCACCTGAATTTCCAAGTACAAAACTTAGCCAATGGGAAACAAATAGCCTCAAATTCTCACTCCCACTCAAACTGTACATAACTCCATATTATGGGGGAAGATGGTGGCATAGTGGTTGCCACTAGACGAGTCATCCAGAGATCAATCTAACGCACTGGGGTTAGGAGTTCAAATCCCCACTGTGGCAGGTGGAATTTAAATTTAAATGAATAAATCTGGAATTGAAATTATTAAAAACATAATCCATTTGGTTCGCTAATACCATTTTGGGAAAGGAAATCGGTTGTCCATAATTGGTCCGGGCCACATGAGATTCCATACCCACAGTTCATGCAGCAGACTGTTTAACTGCCCTCTGAAATGGCCCTCTCGCATGAGACTCACTTCAATTAGGACAAGTTATTCTGGCCTTGCCAGTGACGTTCACACCTCAAGAACAAATTTTTTTAAAAACTCTCCCATCGTTACATTGAGCTCAGATCAGTTCACCAGGCCAGTGACAGGTGGTGGGATTTTTTTTAAAAATGCATTAATTCTCAGTCTCCCTCTCCAGGATTTTGAAGACTATCCAGAGCAGAAGACCGACCTCTGATTGTTTTAGCTGTTAAGAGTCATAGTTTCCCTGCCTTCTTGAACACCCCACGAGCCCACGTCACCAGTCAGCACAGCCATTTTAGAGGGGGAGGGGCGAAAGAAAGATCAAAGTGAAAAATCTGATTTACCAGCAGTGTGCGAAGTATCAGTCACCACCGAGAAGATGTGTTGAAGAATGTCACAAAAATAGGTTTGGTAAAAGCTCTGGGCAGCTGTCTCTTCCTGTGCAACATTCTGCAGTAGAGTATAAAGTATAGACAACCCTGTGAAAACACAATCACAGAATCCAGTTCAGATCACTGCCGCAGTTCAAAGCCTGTGGGTAGACCAAAACTAGTGAGCCATATGCAAGACAAAAAAACTGCTAATATATCAAACAAATAATTTGGCAGAAACTTCATCACCCAGGCAGCATTCAGAAGACAAAAGATGCAAGCATGAGGCAAATGGCATAGATGGCAAAAGGGAAGCTAGATAAACACAAGCAAAAAAAAAGGGAGCAGTAGGACATACAGATAGGGCAAGGGTAATGTGGGAATAGGCACATGTAGAGTGTAGACATCAGCAATGACCTGCTGGGGGCCTTTATCCGTTGTCATACAGAAAGGAAGAGGAGATGGAAGTAAAAGCCTCTCTGCACAACAAAACATACCTGTATCAGCCACGTTCCTCATTGTGTGTTTGAAAGCCCAGATAATGGAGTCGAGGACCAATTTGAACTGGGCTGGAGGTATGTTCAGGAACGCAGGGAAACAATGACTATTGACTGCTTGAAGAAGCAGAAAGAAGTTAGTCCTGTGCTCTGGATACTCTTCAAAATCCTGGAGAGGAAGACAAAGAAAATTAAATTCTTGAAATTGTGTGTCATTTAGATCTTTATACAGTTTGCAGGTGGCAAATAATTTTATTGGAGATTTAAATCAGACCTCCAATTAAATTGACAGATCATTCCTGTTCATTCAAGTTCAAATTCATTGGAATTAAAATACAATTTGAACTTATTATTGCAAAAACAAACTGGGACTAATAGTGGTAGCTGGTAGACAGGGGACCTGCCAGTCTGATCTCGCACTCTCACGCAGCCAAGCTCCTATGTTATATGAGGTTTTGCTCTCAGAGAAAGCACGATGTTTCAGATTCTAAAACAGCATAAAATAAACAAAGGCATTGTTGAGATTCCGATTCATTCCCTGCTCGGCTGATGGAAAACCGCTCAGGAATGAATGTTTGCGACTGACTGATGAGGCAGTGAATACAGATAAGTGTCAGCAAATTCAAGAGTGAAAAGGAGAGATATCAGACATAGAAACTGATCAAAGTATGCAAGTGCATAATTTTTTTTTTCCAGCTTTGGGATTAGACCATCACAAGCTCTTTCAGTTCCCTACTTCCCAAAATTCCACGTTAGACATCACTAGGGAGACATGGGACAAGCAATGGCTGCACAGCAAGTTTGGTAATTAAAGTGATAAGTACCCAAGGAGAACAAAAAAAAATCTTCAGATGGCAAGGAAGTATTTTAAATTAAATTACTCAACAGATCACATCTGATGTAGAACAATTCTCAACAACAGAGCAAAAACCAGAATTACTAATCCTTACACCTCAAGTGTAGAGGTGCATATCTCCTATTGTGCAACATCTTTAGGACCCTAGGGGCAATAGTGTCATGGATCTGCTCCTCATGGGGTTATAAATAGCACACTGTGACACAGTCAGAGAGAGCACGAGGTGGAAACCGGAAGTCTACTATTGTGAATGTGAGAAAAACACGCAGTGAAGCGCATGGAATAGATGGACTAGCACTACACCGTAGAGTTTAATCTAAAATCATCTTTAAATAATGTAACACTAAGATTAGATCTGGATACATCACTGAATACTATGCAGTATATGGTCTGTAGATGTAGTAAACAGCGCTACCAGAAGAAATGAGTCAGAAGACAGTTCTTGACTATGTCATCTCCTCAACTAGTCTTGAACCCAAATGCATGGATGTAGATGCAACACTACACAACAAAAGATTTTCTACACTCACTGGACCTTTGGGCTCTTTGAACTAAAAAAGTGTCACTGTTGTGTGTATTGGATCTGGAGCTTCCAAAACACCCAAATTATACAAACTAGTTTCTTATATGGAACAGGTGGAGATGCTCACTGCATCAGCCTGGGCTAGAGTCGGACATCGATTCCAGACAGAAAGAAAGTCATGTGCTCACAATCCGAAAGTACCATTGCAACACCCACTAACTGTACATTTTATTTACACCAGCCATTTAGACATAGGAAAATTAAGAACAAAAAAAGTTACTTTAACAGATGAGCAGAACGAAGTTGTGGCTAGGTAGATAAGTTGACAAAGCAGCAGTGGGAACATAAAAGTACTATGAAAATATAAAATGAGAACTGCAACTCAATAATAGCCACAGGGCTAATAAACAATCACAGGATCTGACTTCATGTTTGTAGTAACAATATGGAATTTAACCAATAAACCAATAATGAGTCAGAAAAGGGTGTGCTGTGGCACAGTGCTTAGCACTGCAGCCTCTTAGCACCAGGGACTTGGGTTCAATTCCAGCCTTAGGTGACTGACTAACCGTGTGGAATCTGCACATTCTCCCTGCGAGTTTAGGTGGACTGGCCATGCTAAATTGCCCCACAGTGGCCAGGGATGTGCACGCTAGGTGATTAGCCATGATAAATGTTGGAATGGGTCTGGGTGGGATGCTCTTTGGAGGTTTGGTGCAGACGCAATGGGCCAAATGGCATCTTTCTGCATTGTAGGGATCCTATTATTCTCTTAAACCAGCCTACAGAATTTAGAGGGGATTCAAAATTTCCAATCCACAGGAATTTGAAAATATCCTGTATATCACAAAACATTTTCTGCATCATCAATAATTCAACAGTACCTCAATAGAGAGAATTTAACCATGTTTGCCTCCTCCCATCCCTTTGCTTTGAACTGGGATAGAAGGTGGGGACAGAGTTTTATAGGGGTTTGAGTGATACAGACTATGGTGAGATTTATGACAGAATCAGATGAAAAGTCCAGCAAGTCCACTTCTATGCCAGGAGCATCTTGCTCGGTTGTTTATTCATTCGTGGAGTGGTGAAATGAGTTACTCATTTGGAAAGAGGAGAGATGACACCCCTGGGGCAGCAAAGGATGGGGATGGGGGAAGGGGCACCCAGCTCAGGCAGAGGGCCTTTGGGATACAGGTGGGGTCTGCAGTGGGTCAGCCCCAACTCCACTTCTTGAGGATGAGTGAGGCGTGGAGTTGATGCAGACTTCATATGACCTGAGACACAGATCAAATTGTGCCAGATGCTGGAGCAGGACCCAAGGACTGCAGAGAGGGGCCCCACCTGTCCTCTTCTGGGGGGAGTGAAGGTTTCAGCTGCTTTGATCTCCAGTGCGACTGGCTCCTTCTAGGCAGCAACAGGTGACCCATAAATGACCTCTCAGTCATGCAGCCACAGATACAATTAAGACAGGGACTGATGACTCAATGCAAGATCACAATGATTCACTTGGCTTCCTGACGATGATGTCAGTGCTGAAGCCCTGGCAGAATTTTAGGATATTTATTGGGCTCCATCAATAGTACAAGCAGTACAAGCCATAACACAACACTACAGAATTCATCAATCAGGAAGGGGTCCCATTCCATTAATGGTGGTCTATGTTCATAGTTACCACTACCTGGGGATACATGCCCACTGCCGAGAGTTGCCGAGTCTCCTACATCCTGGAGCACCCTCATGCATCTAGTGTGTTTGAGGGTCTAGGATCTTTTAAGGCTCAGTACCGTGGAACTAAGGGCTACCCTTTGTGACCACAGTTAATGACACGATTGTGCAACTCCTGACTGATGCAAAGTACAGGTACAGTGCTACCCATGTTTCCACCAGGCCTATGGTGGAGCAGACGACAGAGTTATCAAAGATACAGTTGGACAGAGGCAGCAGTGGGGGAGGCAATAAGGTGATACACTGGATGCCGAGAAACTGAGGAAAGGGGAACATTCTTCAACTTCTGAGGTGGACTACAATGATGACAAGGAAACAGTCATCGAGGAGGAGGAAGCTCTCATTGTCCATTAGAGTTCAGCTGCACTAGGCACTAAAAATCAAGACAGAAACTGATCACTGATACCCATATCCAGCTTGGTGCAGCAGGCCATTATGGACCGTTAAAAAGTGTCTTTTGTCATCACACTAACATTTGGTTTGCATTAGAAGAGTGGACTGAAGCATCTATAGATCTTGTGTGCATTCCCTTTTCGTGGCTAGAAGTAGAAGCTTGTGCTTCCAATTTTCTGATCGTTTGTTTGTAGGTGATGTTTTCCCACTGGACAATGACAAGGTCTGTGTCTGCAGTGGGCATTAGGGACAAACAGCAGAGACTTATACAGGGTGTTCAGAATGTAGCTACGGTGGGGTAAACTTTGGGGCCTGCCTGTTGAACAGTGACTAGGGTGAGAGAATGGGGTTGTACGTGCGAGAGAGGGTCAGCCATGCTGGCTGTGAGCCGCGAGGCTTTGTGACTGCTATGCCATTACATTACCAGGTGGAGGAGGAATGCAGATTTGCCACATTTGCTCAGGTGCACAGTGACCTATCGTGGATGGCGTGGAGCAAGGGATATTGGTCTTTCAACCAAAATCCGCTGAGTGGAGAGCTATTCTGGGAACTGGACGTACTAAGATAGGGTTAGAATCAGTATTGAGGGTGCAGTAAGGTCAGGGTGGGTCGTTAAATTAGGTCCCTTTGGTAAAATACAGTGCAAAATCTCACTCAGCCTCACAGTGCAAATCCTTCCAAAATACTCGACACAACTTACACTTAGCCATAAAAATGGTCAGATTCGGCCCAAGTTTCCAATGCTAGGACACCACACATTCTATTTATTTGGCACCGGTCAGGCTAGACAACTGGGCTGTGACACTGGGAGGTCCAGTTAAGCCCACCCTTCCCCTACCCAATGTCCAAAGATGCACATCCAACGTAAGGGGATCATTGATTGGTATCTCAAACAAAAATTCTGGCTGGGATAGACTGGATGGAGATTAACCAAAGAAATTTCCATATTTTCATACAAATTAAAACTCTTCTTCCTTACAAATTATGGCAAATATAACATTATGTTTTGTTAGAGAAGTGTGCCCAAATTCCTGGTTGATCTAAGTTGGCCTTGCTTTAAAATCAATGCCCACATCGGAACTGCTAATTTACCATATTTAGATCTAGAAAGGGATACAACTAGCATAGAAACCAATGACTAAACATGCTCTTTCAAAGCATTAGCAGAGGCTGCATTGGAAACTGAGCAAAGAAAATTAGTTCCAGTCCCTGCACTAAGACAATGCCAAGGACACGTTTACTTTCCTTCAGCTCTTGGAATGCAATGGCTTCCACAAACAGAGTTACACAACACGCAGTTAAGAATTTCCTACACTCAGAACGAAAGTTACCTTGTTGATCATGTCCAGAGTACACTCAAACAAGGCATCAAAGATCTGGGGGACCTCCGCAGTAATGTGGTTCTCCAATTTATTCACAATGGTGGCCATTGTACTCAAAACCTCAGGCTCCCGGGCTGCAGGGACATTCCTCTGGTAGTCGATCAGCACTGCGTCAAGCAATGGGGGGACAAAATTTTCTGCAACCTGACAAAGGAGAGAGAGAGGGGGGGAGAGAGAGAGAGAGAGAGAGAGAGAGAGAGGTGAGAGAGTGTAGCTTGGTATCTTGGCATAACATCTTTATTTATTTGTTGTTAAATGATAATAGAACTAAGCCTCAGACACACAAGAGTGGCAAATGAGTCTAGAAAAATCGGGAGCACATTCTTGGCATCAGAGGGCGAGAGTCAAGTCTGGTCTTTATTCATTAAGTGCTAAATGCTGATTGAGTACACTGCCCACGTCTCCTCACTTGATAGGCACATCAGACTTCGAGAAGTCAAAATAACAATATAAAAATGAAGCCACTGTTCTAATAACCACTTCGTCTAATCCTTTGACAAACACTCCTTTCCAAACCCTTCTCTGCTCAATGTCTCCAGTTCAGGCATGCAATTTGCAACCCTAGTGCAGTGGTCAACCCAGAGCTTAAATTTTAGGTCTTGCATCACAAAGACCACTTACTTCCACATTGTTCTCAGCGCAGTCCTGCAATTACTGAGAAATCACATACTTGCCTTTGTCACTTCCAAATTCCAGTACTCTTAAGTCTCTTCTGCCATCCACTTCAAACTCCAGAGAAAATCCAAAACTCTACCACAACAGACTTTGCTTGCTAAACATTCCCAAGCTCAGTGACTTTCACCGGTTCCCCACAACATAAAATATTCATCAAATCTCTACACTGCCTTGTCCTACCCCAGCAGACCTCTATCCCACCTGACCACCCATTCCTCTGGCCACTCTTTTGTTGTACAATCCTTTCCACCTAGAGCTCTAGTATGGCCTGCACGCTGTCCTAATCTTTCTTCCCAAATTCCCTCACCTCCTTTAGAGACGTGTTCTCAACATCCATCTCTGCAAGCAAGTTCCTAGCTAATCCTAACTTCTCCCTTTCCGACAAGTGGCCAGTCTTCTCCATGGCCCCCTGCAAGCGTCTATGGGTCATTCCCTTACAACAGTACTTCCCAAACTTGCTCGCAACTCTGACCCCAATTCATGGCTTGAAAACATGCTTGGACAGCATAATAGGAACTGCTGGATCAGGGGAAGGGGAGCGGTGAGAGAGCTGCAGGATCAGGGACAAAGTGTAACCGAGGGGCCAAGGGTGGTAGGGGAAAGAGAAGCAACACACTTGATCTTCAGGGACTTTTTTTTTTTTGAAAACCTGCCTTTTCACCAAAGCAGGATATCAGGCCTCAAAAGGATCAGTTAGGCCGTGACCATGATTAAAAAAATCAAAAAAAAAGACTTAAAGCTATTGATACTATCAGGATTCCATGTCAGCAATTGTGGCCTTAGAGCCTGCAACCGCATTGGGGGTCATGACCCACATTTTGGCAAGCCGTGCTTTGCAGGCTCTTTATAGAGCAGGATCTAAGAAATAGGAACAGGAGCTGGTAATTTGACCCATCAATACAAAGATCTCACTGTGGCCTTAAGTGCATCTTCCTGTCCATCTGCCATGACCCTCAATTCCCTGGTCAATCAGAGAGCTGCCCAGGTCAGCCATGAGCAGACTCTATAATCCAGCCTCTCCTGCATCCTGTGGAAGAGAATGCAAAAAAAACCAGAAAAAAAAAAAAGAAATCCCTCTTTGTATATGGTTTAAAAAAAGAGAAAGATGACACAAAATAGCTGTCCAAGTAGGAGAAGGGGGCACAGGTCCAAAGTGAAGGTCAACAGATACACTCTTCAAACAACTTTTGAAAAGTGATCAGTACACTCAATGGGGCAATTAGAGAGTGAAAACACATCTTTTTAAACAAAAAATTCAAATGGAAGAAGAATGTAGGGCTGTTCTGGATAGATAACCCATACTGGGGCAATTATACTCACCAGCTGTGGATCGGAGGACCGGCTCACCCACCCAGATATCAGTTTTAAAGTCTCCCTCTTTACTGTCCTCATGCTTTTGATTAAAGGTTGCTTGGTAACAACTTCACCTAAATGGGGAAAAAGAAATATACAGTACACATACTAAACAGTTATCAGGATCATTGACCTTTCTTTGTGTAGGCTGGTCAGCAATTTTGCCTGTTTTATCTTAATTGCATGGCACCCTCTCCACACTAGCCTGCAACAATGAGAGATTGGGAGTAGGGAGAGAAGAAACCAAGAGGGTTAAGGGTGGGACTGGAGGTAGAGGGCACAGAGGCCGTGCAATCGGATACTACGAAGATGTGCCAGACAGGCCTTGCCCATGAACTTGGCAATGGCTTGTCGGTCGAGGGGTATGATTCTCACTTAGGGGCTTGTATACTGGGGTGGTACAGTGATTAGCACTGTTGCCTCACAGCGCCAGGGACTCTGGTTCGATTCCAGCCTTGGGCGATGGTTGTGTGCAGTTGCACATCCTCTCAATGTCTGTGTGGGTTTCCACCAGATACTCCACATTCCTCCCACACTTTCCTTCCACAGTCTAAAGATGTGCAAGTTAGGTGGATTGGTCGTGGTAAATGCAGGGTTACAGGGATAGGATAGAGAGCTGAGTCTAGGTGGGGTGTTCTTCAGAGGTTCAGTGAGACTCGACAGGTGAATGGCCTCTTTTCGCATTGTGGGGATTCTAAGATTCTAACTCCTTGCACCAACCCTGCATTGTAGCCCAACACAACATTGTGCCTGCCACCTTTTGACTGCACATCACAGCTTAGTCTCAGGCTGGGAGCAAACAAAAATGTTCAACTGCAGGAAATCAAAATTATCACACAATGGTCTAATTTCTAACTAACTATCTTAAAACATACTGTGATGTAACATAGTGATAAAGTTCTCTTTCTGATATGGGGAGGAAGGGTGAGAACAGGAGAAATAAAAAGACAGGGTGCACCTCATATCAGTGTCAAAATGCACAAACTCTCACGCGCAGCTCTGTATTGATGTAAACATGAAGGAATGGCTGTTGACAAGGAAACCCCTTAATTTGGTTTTCAAATCCAGTCCACCCAATGGGATAGGTCAACTGGGCGACTGGCTTCCAATGTAGAACACCACCAGCAGTGGGTTCATTTCCCCACATCAGCTGGAGGTCACCATGAAGGTTCCACCTTCTCAACATCACCCTGCTCCTGAGGCATGGTGGCCCTCAGATTAAGCCACCACCAGTCATCTGTCTCTATAGTATTTAGATGAGCACTTAAGATGCAGAGGTACCAAAAGCTATGGGGCATGCACTGGAAAATGGGATTAGAACAGTCAGGTGTTGTTTTTGACCAGCACTGACTGAGATGGACCCTTTTCAATGCTATAGATCTTTATGCCTCTACTCTTGGTTTATCATAAGCCTATTGGATATCCAAGCTCTCCTTTACCAATTGGACAAACCTCTTATTTATGTCCAAGCCATAAATTAGATTCGATCTTTAGAGAAGATACCAGGTGGATTCAGGAGTGGTCTATTCTACTACTTAAACCTGTTCCATCACTTAATTTTACCCAACCTGGCTCCACAAAATTTAGTTTTTGTGCCTAACAATAGTCTATCAACCTCAGCATTAAGATACTGAATTGACCCCCTATCCACAATAGCCTTTTGGGAGAAGGTTTTCATTCTGGGAGGAGAACTTTGGAACAACCAGCTTAAAACATCCAACCCCACCTCCCCCTGGAAAAAAAGTGGCTAGTTACCATTGGCCTGGATAGCGGCAGAGATATTCTCACTCAAACACTTGTAAACGTTGAGCATGTCCAGATATATCCGTCCCAGCTGAATGACGAATGGATGTCCAACTGCCTTGCAGGCCCTCACGTTGGTCTTCAAGATGCTGCCAAGCTGCTTCACCGTCTCTGCATCCTTCAGAATGTCCACATTCTTTATAAAACATGATTTGAGTAAATGGAATTTGTACACATTCGGGCAAAAGAAATGCTGTAAAATACTTCCTCCATGCACTTATAACTCTCAGCGTTCCTTCCTGCCACCCCCACAACCCCAGATCCCTCCCATCCCCAACACCGTTATCTGTTGTAGCTGTGTATTTTTTTTTGCCCGGAGAGGGGATGCAGCATGCATTGTGGGAGACTCTCTTCATGACAGTCATGCTGGCAAAGTGCTGACATCCCTTCACACTTAACATGCACAAGGAAGGCCTCTAGCCTCTACTTGCCTTATTCTTATCAAGACTGCCATAAGGCTAACTTGGAGCTCAGGCCAATGGACAGGGATTGGGGAGGTGACGGGAGATTAGTGGGGAAGAAACTCCAAGATGTTATTTCTCCACTCCTTGCTGGGAGAAATAACATGCGATCTATTGATGACACTCATTTGGGCAACAAATCTAGGTGGTGGTAGATATTGTGAAAACATTGCAAAGATGCCTCAAGGAGATTTGAAGAGGCTCAGAGAGCAGGCAAAAACTTGGCAGATGGAGTAAAATACTAAATATGAGATTGTGGTGGAAAAAAAAATAGGGACAGAGAGCATTCCTTGAATGGTAGGAGACTTGGAAGTGTTGCAAGTTCAGAAAGGACTCGGGTATTCTTCAGTAATGGAAGAGGTAAATGGTACATCGGCCTTTATTATAAGACAATGTGTGTACAGAACTAAACATATCTTGCCGTAATTATGCAGCGTCTTAGTGAGACCACACCTGGAGATTATATCTTGCTATAGGCAAGAAGACACTCTCTAAAGAAGGAGCACAAAGAAAGACTCACCAAACTAACTCCTGAGACGAAGGGATTAAGTTATGTGGAAAGATTCAATAGGCTGGGCTTACATTCCCTGGAGTTTAGCTAAATGAGCGATGATCTCTACCAAACATGGAAAATTCTTATAGGGATTGATAAAGCAAATGCAGGATAGATGTTCCCCTGCTTGGGGAGGTCTAAAAAACAAGAGAGACACCATCTCAGGATAAAAGAGCATGCCTTTTAGACCCAAAATATGGCTTTTCTACTTGGGGATGGAGGACATTTGGAATTCTCTGCTCCAGAGGGCTGGGGAGGCTCAGTCGTGGAGTATTTTCAAAACTGAGATCAATGGATTTCAACATATTAAAAACATCAAGGGATATAGCATTAGTTCAGGAAAATGTTGTTGAAGTAGATGATTAGGTATGATCTTGCTGAATGGCAGCGTGGGCTTGAAGTGCTGAAAGGCCTACTCCTGTTCTTATGACGAGAGAGATGGAGAAGTGTAACGTTTGGGACAGCGTTTTCTTTTCTATTCTAGCCACAAGAGGATCTGGAGTTTTCGAAGCCTTATACTGAACATACGGTCTCAATTTTGGTGATAAAGTTGTCAAGGACACTGGTTTAAGAGATGAAATTGGAATGTAGGATTTAAGAAAACGATTGATAAAGAAGCCACAGCTTATAAATTACTCATAGTTCATCACTGTGGAAATAAAGGAAACAAAAATAGTTGCGGCATTTATTGCCTCATTGTTATAATGTTTGTTGAATGTCACGGAGGACTTAGAACAGTTCTTGTTTACTATGCAAAAATGGTCTTATTCTGCCATAACCAAATAAGTAGTTAGACTTTATGCTCATTTCCAATTTCAGACATCTATGTTCTCCATTCTTTCACGAAAATTATACTGATAGAAAGCACTCATTTAAGATTATTGAATGAATTCAATAATTCTACATAAGGGAAGACAACTAAGTAGACTGTCCACTACTGAATGATGAATTGACCTCTCAGTTGTCTAACTCACCTTCGTTGCTTGCTGAATAATGCTGTCCCACACCTGGTTAGGCAAAAGCATGTACTTCTCAATTAGATGCTCCTGGACAGTTTGATCAGTTTGAGCTCCAATCATGTAACCAACAGCTTCATAGAACGTGTGCACCTGAATTACAAGAATAAAATTTTAAACTTTTCCTCAGAGTTAATGAGGTAGAAAGCGGGCTGTCAGCACTGCAATGAGTCAGACAAAGCAAGGAGGACAGCATTAACCGGACACTTTATTCTAGAAGGCAGACACATTCATTAGACTAAATTGGAAAGTCCTAGACTGTGGTCAGAGACAAGAGGGTGAGAGTGAGGCTGGTATGGGGGATCAAGGGTGGTAGCCTCAGTTTTTGCAAAAGTCCCACAGGATCAAGATTCTTGCAGCTTGTATGGACAAGAGTAGACATGTTTCTCCACAGCCAAGAATGAGTCCAAGAGGCTGCTCTGCCCAGTGCCAGGGTCTAGGGCATTGCTCTAAGTGGAGAGGAACTTCAACAGGAAGTAGAGGTTCCAAATGTCATGGTCCATGTGGGTACCAACAGCATGGATAGAATTAAGAAGAGGTTCTGCTTCGGGATTACAAGCAACTCGGGACTAAGTGATAAAAGCGGAAATACACAAAAGAAAAACTTTCCAGATGACTATTCTCAAGCAAATTGCCAAAAGGTAATAAGGTCAGAGAGTTGTGTGCATTTGGTGTGAGAAAAATGGATTTCAAATCATGGATTTCAAATCATGGGACATTGACACTAGTGCTGGGGAATGGAGGGAGCTGTACTTTTAGGATGCTCTTACTTGGAGTACCCTGGGACCAGTGTTCTGGCAAATCATATTACCGGAGCACAAGAGAGGGCTTCAAGTAGAAAAGTATGTTATTTTTGGTGGATGGGCATGAAGTGATTCCTTCAGTATAGAGGGTGTTGGGGTACATTGAAGGCAGAAATCAAGGTGGCTAAAAACAGGAGACTAGACAGCTTTGGTAGATAAAGGTAAAACGAGAATCCAAAAGAGATTCTGCAAGTATAAAGAAGGGCAAAAGAGTAACTAGGGAGAGAATAGTAACACAAGGGAGAGAATTCACATGGCACCGAAGTAATAATTTAGCAAAGTAGTGTTATGGATAATAATAATTTGAGTGTGGCAAGGACAGAGTATAAAATCATCTACTATTCAATAAATCCTCTTAGAATTTGTTACACAAACTACTGTCTGCCAACCATTTGTCTTGTTGCCAAGACCCAATGAATGGATCAAGTAATTTACAAAATGATCGACCCCTTTCACACAGTTTTACAGGGAACAATCCAACAGATAGAAACAGTGACCCAACTTCCAAAACATGTCATGAAACCAACTCCATTAATCCAAAGGCATGAGGTACAGCAGTCTATTTCTTCCCAAACCCTCACGCACCACTCCCCACACAAAAAGCTAGCTGCATTTCATATCAAGTGATGAGTGGCTGTCGGTACCTCTTTAAAAGGGTTTCTTAAAAAACCTTAGATACACGCATGAAAACGCACTTACTTGATGAGGCTGCAGGTCACAAATGATGGTGTTGATATTGGTCAAGATCTCATCAATGAAAGGCATTACCTCTCCTACTTGCACTTGTACAAAGTGACGTCTGCACTTTTGGGCTATCTTAATAAATGTGTCACAAGCCATGTCCTGGACACCATCATGGGTCTCTGCAAGAAGCATTAACAAGGTGTGTAAAGCTATTTCTTTGTGTTAAAAAAAAAGTAAATTTACCTTAAACTTTACATCAAAAATCTTTCATAGGTTTAGTTGCATTTAAAAAGTCCAAATTTAATGTCATAGCTCTCCATAGGATACATTCATTCCAGAGTTCTACATACCCTTTCTGGAGAAAACGTAGTGCTCTATAAAAATCAGAACAATATTAATCCAAAATTTTCCATACACCACCCCTCACCCTCACAAGGGGTAGAAGTATTTTTACACTAATATTTGAATCATCTCCATAAAACCTTACAAAACACAGTTTAACTTTAAGCACTCAAGTAAAGTTCGACAGCAAATGTATCTTGATTAGCATATACACTATTTTGCACCCAAGAAGGCATTTTTAATCTGTGCAAAGTCTGATGACTAAGCAAACCTGCACAACAGCAATTAACTCCACATTGACTACATTCTGGCCTTCATGACAAGCCTCCTTACCATGCATAAACTCAAACAGTTTGTTCACCACGGTCTTTAGGAACTTCCAGTGAGCTCGCAGGAATCGGGGATACTGTCCCACCACGTACATTATATTAGAGGCGATAATAGCCTTGTTATCCTTCCCACGTTTTTGTTCACAAAGGCCCAGCAAATCCTTCAAAGTCAAAAAGTTTCAACAATAAGTAAAACAAAAAGTGAATCAAGCTATCATACCCTATTTATTGTGTGTTCAAGGTATCACTAAGCCTCAAGTGTCTAAGGGAGCCAACTTGACAACCCCTGCTCTAAATAAAAAAGGATTTAGGAGCAAAACCTTCTTCCATTAAGAAAAAAGTGTCAAGAAGAATTATCAAACAAACATTAAACAACTTAGACAGCACCTCTAACGTGATTCCATGAAACATTTCATGATGCTTCAAAGGAACACTACAATACAACATACAACAGCAGCAATGAAGGAGGTGCTTGGTCAAAGGGGTAGATTTTAAGACATATTTTAAAGAGGTGGAAAACAAGGTGCAGAAACTGGGGAAGAATTTTTCTGGCAGTGGGGGAAAACAGGAGTGGGTATGTGCACACATGCTTAGGCAACTGAAGGCACAGCCACCTACAGAGGAGCAATTATTACTGGGAATGCAAAAGAAGCCAGAGTGTAGATATCAGACGGTTGAAAGTCAGAAGAGATTATGGGAATTCTCTATCACCATCTGACCTTGATGACAGTGACGAGAAAGCGTTTCTCATCCTCTTCATGCATTGCACCACTGATGGAGCCGATAGCCCAACAAAGTGTATTGAGGTTCTTCCACGACCATTCTGTACCATTCACTTGATTATGTAGCTTCTCGGTCATAATGCATTCTGTGTCAGCATAGTCTAAATGCGTGAGATAGACTGAAACAGGAAAACAAAGAAGCCTTAAAATCATAGAATCCCTACAGTGCAGATAAATGCCATTTGACCCATCAGCTTTGTACGGATCTTCCGAAGAAGATCTTCCCACCCAGAACCACCACCTCCTCCACCCTATCCCTGTACCCCTGCATTTACCTTGGCCAATCCACCTAACATATACATCTTTGGACTGTGGGAGGAAACCCATGCAGACTTGGGGAGCATGTGCAAACCCCACATGGACACCCAAGGCTGGAATCAAATTTGAGTCCATGGTGCTCTGAGGTACCTGTGCTCACAACTGTACCACTATGCTGCCCTTATTCAAGGGTTTCACACTTGTCCATTTCTTCCAACAAACAGGTCCGACAGCAAAAGGAAAAGTCAGGGTCTACAACCTCCCCTCTATTGTTTGGCCAGTGTTTCTGTTCTTTTACAATGCTCCTTCTGGAACTGCACTTCATGTCCTCCTCAACTCTTAATGATTGAGATACATCTTAGCATTTCTTAATTTAAAAAAAAGGGAAATATTATTGCTTGGACAAGCACTTCATGAAGCAGTCATCATTTTTTAAAAGATCAGACGGACTGGAGAAGGGCTGTTGTATTCGGAGTTAAGTCAATTATGGGATACCAACAGACAGGACAAAATCCTCAGCGTCCTCCAGGGAGTTTGGGATAGACAGAGCATAAATTATCCTGATTTGGCAACTTTTACAGGACAGTGGGTAGAGAAAATGTTTCATTGATCCCACGGTCAGAGCTGAGGAACTATGTTGGAACAAACAGGTTCGAGGGAGAATTATTCCAAAGCAAACATTGTAACAGCTGATCAGAAAGTGCGTGGTTGGTATTCCGGGTCTGCAAACACAATATTCTGGTGTCTTGTTTTCTTCATTTATGGAATGTGGGCGTTGCTGGCTGGCCCAGCTTTTATTGCCCATCCTAACTGCCCTTGAAAAAGTGGCAGAGAGCTGCCTTCTTGAACCCACTGCAGTCTATATGCTGAAGGTAGACCCACAAGTCACAAGGCAGGGAATTCCAGGATTTTAACCCAATGACACTGAAGGAATGTCAATATATTTCCAAGTCAGTATGGCTAGTTGCTTGGAGGGGAACTTACAGTTGGTGGTACTTTCATCTATTTGCTACCGCTTGTCATTCTAGACTAAAAAGAGGTTATGGTTTGGAAGATACCACCACAAGGAGCCTTGGTGAATTTTTGCAGTGCATATTGTAGATGGTGCACACTGCTGCATTGGAGGAGGAGGAGATGGGGATGTAGGGTCAATCAAGTGGGCTATAAACCAAAAATTTGTAATGCCTGCCAGCATCTGACAAGAGAAAATACTGTGGGTTTGTCAGAAAATGGAAAACAAACATTACAAATCCTTTTGCAGAACTGATCATAATATTAATAGAAGGTAATTCTTTTTCATAGGGCCGATCATAGTTCAGAAAAAGATTTTGTTTTTACGCAATCACCTCCCCTTTTAGTTGCTTTATGCTACAATTAAAAGGAAAGTCTAAATTCATTCCCAGACCTTCTCTAACATTTAGGAAAAAACGAAACACTATATGAATTGCAGTGTGAAAGAGGACACTCGGCCCAAAACATACCGCTGACGTTTTCATTCCGGTTGTATGCATGTTTAAAAAAAAAGTCATTCATGGACTATGGGTGTTGCTGGCTAGGCCAGCATTTATTGTCCATTCTTAACTCAAGTTCTGGGTAGTTCCGAAACATCTTGAACCACTGGTGTGGGTACTGCTGCAGTGATGTTAAGGAGGGAGTTTCAGGATTTTGACCCAGAGACAGTGAAGGAACAGCAGTTTAGTTCGAAGTCAGGATGACATGCAGCTTGGGAGAGGAACCTGTAGGTGGTGGTGTTCTCAAATATCTGATATTCATGTCCTTTTAGATGTTGGGGGTTTGGAAGATGCTGTCAAAAGAGGCTTGGTGAGTTGAAGTGCATCTCAGATGGTACACACTGCTGTCATTATACGTCAATAGTGAAGGCAGTAAATGTTGTTGGTGGTGGACAGGGTGCTAATCAAGTGGGCTGTTTTGTCTTGGATGGGGTCAAGTTCTTGAATGTTGCTGAGCTGCATTCATCCAGGCATGTGCAGCCCTAGCCCCGTACTGTTGGTTCCTATTCTTCATCCACCAATTCAGCCTAATCTTTGAAACTGAATCTTTCTGCAACAACCAATAAACCTGGAATTAATTTCAGAACACTCTGCAAATTAACATCTATTGCTGTGACCATGCACCAACGTCAGTTTAACCTGAATTCCTCAACCACTGAAAACTCTGCTTCTAACAACCATATCCCATATTTCCACTTTTTGAAATATAAATTTTCCCTGTAATCATAAGAAAAAGAACTCCAATAATGCTATTTTTTTAAATTCTGAATTCCTGGCACTTCTGAAAAAGAAAGTTGTTCTGACCACAGATGAAAACCCCGATGATTAAATTTTGCTTGCATAAGTTGCCACTCCCAAATAGCATTAATTATTCTGTCAAAACATACAGGTAATCCCCAAAGTTTTCATTTTGACTCGCCATGCTTTGGTACAATTAAAATTCAACCAGAACAATGCACTGCCCAAGACAGCAATGAATTAGGTAGCTGACATGCTTATAACACAGGTCAGGGATGACTTATTTTTGGGTAGGGCTCGAATTGGATCCAAGACAACTGAAGTGACTTCTACCCAATTTTCATTTGATCATAGCACCAAAACCTCTACTTAGTTCAGAACCTCAATTACGTTGCTCTTAAGTCATCTGGGTGTCTAAAAGACATTGACAGTTTCTCTTAACATACAGAGCACTTACATAGAAGTAGCCTAGCATTTTACGCTGCCTATTCATTAGATTCCAGATTAAAAAATGAAACAATATCTTTCAGCATCAATGCCATTAACAGAGTATAGTACCACGTTGGAGCTTAATCTTTTCAACCTCACCAGTATTTGAGGATTGGCAGAAGTGGTAAACATTATGGGAACACCAATGTCACTTCTTCGTTGTACCCATTTTGTTTTGACAGGCTATACAGGGGTCAGTTTTTTTTTTTAAATTCATTCACAAGAAGCCAACATCTTCGGCATGTTCAAGACTATATATACTTAAGAAACAACGTCATACTTCCCAAACCATACCCTTCAAAAGAAGATATTTTAACCCTGCAAATACCTTCATATCCTCACAAGCTTTAGGACACCCTGCAAAAAGTGAAAAACTGCCAGACTGGACCCAAACCTCCTTCATCAGACAACCAGCACAAAACACTGAATAGCAATCGGGCACAGGAACTCCAGTTACATGTAATCCTCCCTGCTTAAACTTTCCAAAAAGAAATGGAGGTCAAATGCAATATTCCCATGCTGCGCACAGCCAAGATCAAGTCAATTAGAATTTGTACATAGGAACAGGAGTAGGCCATTTGGCACCTCCGGCCTGCTTTCCCATTCAATGAGATCATAGCTAATCTTTATGGTGCAGGAGGAACTAATTCAACCCATTCTGATTGCACAAGTTTTCTGAATGAGCATTTAATGTAGTTCCATTCTCTCTGCTTACTCCTGTAACCCTGCACGATAACAGTTTAATTCCCTTTTAAATACTTCAAATCAATTTACCTTCACCACACTCTCAGATAGTGCATTCCAGTCCCTCACAGGAACAGGAGTGGGCCATACAGCAACTCAAGCATGTTCCACCATTCAATTAGATTACATCTGGCCAGTGGGCTAACTTCATATACCTGCCGCCTTTGGCCCATATCCCTCAGCACCTTAGTTTAACAAAAACTAATGACTGACCCAGCATCCGCTGTCATTTGTGGAAGGGAGTTTTAAACATCTATCAGCCTGTCTACAACTATAACACTCACTCATGAAAGCATCTCTTCTCATGTCACTTCTGCTTCTTTTAATAACTACTTCAAACTCATGTCCTCTTGTTTGAGATCCTTTCGCGATTGGGAACAGTTTTTCGGTTTACACATCCAGACCCCTCAAAAACTGAACGCCTATTAGATCTCAAACTCCTTTTCATGGAAAATAGTCCAAACTTCTCCAACCCATCTTCGTAACTGAAGCTTTCCATCTCAGGAACTATTATTAAGAATCTATTTTGCATTCCCTTCAAAGCCTTCACATCCTTTAACATGTGGCACCCAGATCTGGATGCAATAGTCCAGTTTAGGCTGAAACAGTATTTCATTCAAGCTCAATATAACCTCCTTATTCTGATACTCCACACTGCTATAATAAAGCCAGTGTTATTGTATGCTTTATTCATCACTCTCTCAACCTGTTCTGCCACCTTTATTGACTTATTCACCCACGTTTGTCCGATCCTGCATCCCCTTTAGAGTTGTATCTTTATTTTACCTGGTACTCTCCATTTCTTCGTACCAAAATATGATCAATTCACATTTCTCCATATAGAACTTCAACCCTAAAGATAATTGTAAGAAACTTCAAGCTTACCAAGTGTCTCTCTCATTGTTTTGTACAGATTGATGGAGTCTGTGTCCTTCATGAATTCCCGAACAACTTCTCCCTGCTCATTCTCCACAACAAGCACCTCTTCTGGTTTTGCCATTCGGCTGATCATGATAAGCCTCACCTGAAAAAGAAAAACAAAAATCCACTTGTTTATTAAGTACAAATCAAGAGATAATTAGTGTGAGGACAGTTCAAACAAGTTTGTACATACGGCTGCTGCGTGGTACATGCCCTACGTAAGTTGAAAAACCAACAAGCTATTGACCAGAGTGTGTCAGAAAACTGGCTTAGGTTCATTCTATTTAAAGTTTGCATCAGCAAAAATGTGACGTTGAGATCAGGCTGTTAGCTTTGAATGACTGATCAGAATTTGGTGCTGGTACCAGGTCAACTGACTGCCCTCTTGGCGTCATATAGCTCAGGGAGATTGATGGGGAAAGCATCGATAATGTGAGAACACTTAAGAAAGATGAGGCAAGGCTTAAACAAAGTATAGGTTTCACCTTGGTTTTAAAGAAATGAATCTTTATTTTTAAAAAAAGTTACTTTATGGTAAGGGATTGCCGAATAAAGATGATTAATTAATCGTTCAGCAAGAGCAGTGGTCATTAGTGAACGCAGGCAGATTTCAGTTCAACACCATCGTGTAATGCAATCACTAACTATGCAGAGTGAAGGACATATACATTGTTAAGGAGAGAACCAAAAACAACAAACAAGTAATAAATCAGATCACTAGTTAGCCAATCGTATGTGTACACCTTCTTGGTGATGGGTGGGAGCCGAGGAATAGGTCATACATACACAGGAGAGTGGAGGTCAGAAGAAAAGGAGGAAATAAATTAAGTTCAGTTCCAACGTCACTTGCCATAGCACCTCTGACAATTCACAGAGAAATGCCATTATTCTAATACAGGCAAGATAAAGTGCTAACTGTTAAGTAGAAACTATTGTGTGAGATATTAACAGGTGCT